GGCCGGCTCGGCTCGGCACGGTCACGGGTCGTGGGTTGTGGGTCTTGGGCTTGGGCCAAGTTGATATATATTTTTTGGTAAAATAACATTTAATTATATTATTTTATTATTATAATAATAATATATTTTACGTTATTAATTTTTTTCCTTCCCCAAATTTTCTGTGTGTGACACGTGGTACGGTGCTTCTAGAATTTAGCGGGTTGACTGTCCAAGTGGTGATTGACTGTCCAAGTGACGGCTGACTGTCCAAAGTGGCGGTTGACTGTCCAAACCGTTTGTGTCTTTTGGACACAACTTTTCGGCAGTTGTGTCTGTTGGGACACAACCTTTCAACATCTATAAATAGGCCCCCATACCCCGATTTTTATTCATTCCAAAAATCAGAATTGATTTTCTACTCTCCCGAAATTATCCCTTTGTCCTTGCATAATTTCTGTTTTTATAATTCAGTCCTCGAAAATTACTTTTCGTGCATTTCAGTCATCTAGTGTGTGTGGAGAGATCTAAACTTTACGGGTTCGTCGGGTCTTGTAATTTGGAGTACTACTATTACAAGACGAGGTCGTTGTATCTTGGAAAACGAGTGCTACAATACCGTTAGTACCAGTGCGGGGCATTATCGTTTTAAGGAGAAAGAGTCGAACTCTTGCCTCGACCGTTCAAAACCATCCAAACGTCGTTACTCTACCCAAATATAAATTACGGTAACACTATTATTTGCTATTATTTTCAACAAAATTCATCAAAACAAACTCGTCTTTGTTTATAACCCTTTGCTATTAGCCTCTCTTTGAATGTATGGAAGTTTCCATCCATGCCGAACTTTTTGTGTAAACCCATTTACAACTTATGGTTCTATCCCATCGGGCCGATCGATTAAAGTCTAAACCTTGTTCAAATACATTGAGTTCATTTTGGATTCCACACCCTCTAGCCATCACTTTGAGTCAACACTTGGCTTTATGTTTGTATAATTAGTAGGTTCATCATTATCGAATGATCCTACCAGATTTACATGGAACTAACATGTCCTTTGATTCTCGACATTCTGATCAAGAATTGAAAAAAAAGAGAGATAATAATGTGAGCCTAGCCTAGGCGTGTATTAGTGGTCAACGACAATGATTGATTGCTAAATAAGGCGCCAAGCCACTGGGCTTGGTTTTTCCACCACACATCGTGTTTAGGCGACTCCTTGTGACCAGTCCTCTTGAATCTGTGACCTTTGGACATTGATATATTACTTATGTAATATGAATTGTGATCTGTGAACTGTTACATGTGACTTGCAACATATGAACTGTGACCTATGAAGTTGAATACATAACCTATTATTAGTACACAAAGAAATATGGCAAATGATTTGTGACCAGTTAATTTCAATTTGTGACCTGTTGACATTGATCCGTGACACATACAATATGACATACGACCTGTGAAGTGTGACTTGTGAACATAAATCAGAGATATATGACTAGTTCTATTTGATTTGCAACCTGTGGACATTGATCTGTGACCTAAGCACAATATACTATGATCTATGAACAAATCATGAGTTATGATTACAAATTTAATTGTAATCCTACATTTTAAGCTAACATATTATTTATTGATCACAAATGATCTATTATTGACCACTTATAAATTATTGATCACAAATTAATGCAATTTATTGACCACAATCTCCTAAATAATTAATTGATCACAAGCCCTCTTTATACAACCCCAACTCCAATCTAATCTAACCCAACCAACCCAAACCCAATACTAAAACAACTACTTGCACTATCACTATCGCCGGTACCAACATCACCACCACCTTATTTGCACAATCGTTACTGCCAAATCAGAGGCTTCAGTGTTGGTCAAATCGCCATCGTACCACTCTTCCATTTCATATTGTAGATGATAGATTCTACAACTAATAAATCAGATCAAATAGGCCATTAGCAATCCTGTGGAACTCAAGAATAATAGAACGAAGGAAAACGATTGTAAGAGGACACCGGTGTGGTGCCGGCCGAAGACCATTCGATGGTCAAGTTAGTAAAACTCGTCAAAAGTTGAATAAATGACAGATGAAAAGAAAGAAGTGAATTAGAGCATAGTGGATTGAGATACTTGAATGCTTAACCAACCAAGAAACTTATAGTAGTGGGATAACCATCTAGGTGAGATTGGTGGGGATTTTTCGAGATTTCGTGGTTAGTTGGAGCTAAATCTAATCTGATCCGATCTGTTCAATGGAGATATTAGAGCTATTTGTAGATATCTTTTACCAGATCTAGATAAATTATAACGTGATTTATCTTGAAGATAAATCATTGGAGATTTCGAATTGACATGTGGGTCTTGGACTGGGTATTCGGATCGATCATTATAATGAGTTGGGCCAAGGATGACACGGTTAACCCGCCTATGGTTGGCCGCTTGGATTAGTAAATTAATTTTTACTACTACATATATCAAGTCGCAATGTTTTTCATCCACCAATAGAATTGCTCAAATATATGTATAAGCAAATTGATCAATACAATATTGTGGCAAAATATAAATAGTTTTCTTTTGAATAATCACAACAAAAAGACTATCAGATCTAATCGTTTTAGATGGAGAGAGGAAGTTGAGAGAGAGAGAGAGAGAGAGAGAGAGTTTATGTTTCAGAGAGCGTGGTTTCCTCCCCTCATTTGTAAAGAGAGAAATGAGGTTATGAGGGAGAAGATATTTGTAAATGGAATGGGGTGGCGTGGGGATAACTTATTAAATACACATTATATGTAGGGAAAATTGCAGTAGCGATCCCGAACCTTTTTTATTTTTTGTAGATTTTACCCTAACCTTCATTTTGTGTCAACGAAGGTCCCTAACCTTTTATAAATATACATCTGAGATCCATTCGGACGGAAACCATCCAAAACACTGTCAGTTGATTGGAAAAATTTCTTGAACTATCTGCTACCACGATGATTTTATTGGATGTTGATACATTTTTGGATGGTGTTTTGGACAATTTTATTGGATGTTGATTCCTTAATTTTTTCTGGTCAATTGTAGATTTTTTGGACGGTTTCATCCAGATGGACCTCATGTAAATATTTGTGAAATGTTAGGAACTTCCACTGACACAAATGAAGGCTAGAATAAAGTTTGCAAAAAATAAAAATGTTAGGGACCCCTGCTGCAATTTTCCCTTAGATGTATAAACATATACTAAATATATGGGGTTGGGTTTGATAATAGAATGACATATAGAAATTTTTATATTAACAAATAATTAAGATCTGATTATTGAAAAAAATATAATTAAGGCCTGATTTTTGAAATTTAAACGAAATAACTAGACCAATTCTTTGTTCCAACCCTAACTATTACAATTTTGGGTCCCATCCTGCTGATCTGCCTATTTCACCGGCCTGTTACGGTGATATTTCTCCAAGGCTAACCGACAGCATTTGATTAATGACCATGAATAAGGTTCTCTCAAATAAAATACAGAAATACCTCATAATTTAGAATATAACTTGTGACATGAAGTTAACTAAATCATTAAGCAACATTAAAATTTTTAATTGATCCTTCTATTTGTCGATGTGAGTAAAATTAAGGCACAAGCTTTTATGAAAAACGATTTAACTTATGTAACGTCTTCCTCAATTTTTATTCAACGCGATCCCTCAATTGTGGTATAAGTGTATTGTAGACAAAAATTAAAATCCGCCATAGGATTTAGTGCAAAAAACTCATTCATTTAACATATGCATTTCTGTTATATGAAAAAACAACGTTAAATGATGGCTAAGGAAGTTTTGCATCAATTAGACCATTTGCCACACATCATCATCATCAATGTTGACTAACATTCTAATTGATTAAAATAATTATGAAAGTTGAGTGACAATTAAAATTAAACAAAGTTCATTAAATGATTCGAAACACATGTAAAAGTTGGATGATACAATGAATTCACTCTATAAGTTTCAATTTTTAAATCTCAACTTGTAAGCATGAATCATGCAGATAACAAAACTTATTGCTTTAGTAATCACTCATCATAATATCTTAGATAAGATTTTGATTTCCTTGTCCATTTTTTATTATACTTCCTACACTCTTAGAAAGCAAATCCCGAAATGTAAAGTTGTAAACTTCACAATTAAAGTGGTTCAGAAGTAGGTAACGTTACTATTTTTTAGAGAGTTATGCCATTTTACCAGATTGATTTTATCAGAATTGTGCCAGATTAATATTTAACAGCATTTTTGAAGATGCTTGTACTGAATTTGCTTGTACAAAAAAAAGAAAAAAAAAAGAAAACTCATATGGGGTGGGCCCCATGTGAATTTTATATTGAAAAAAGAAAGCCACCCACACATCTGTGGTATGTCATCTGTACGTATTCTGTCAAATCGATTTCTGTACATGTAGTGTGGTTCAAGAATTTATAGTTATCCAAAACAACTTACTTTTATTCTTTTCACACTTTTACTAAGAAACTCGATACATTTGTCCTCATGTGAGTTTTATATTGAAAAAATAAAATCACCCACGATGATGGGACTTCGCGACTAGCCGCGGGCTTTAGACAAATGTGTCTTTCTGTCTTTGTAAAAGTGTGAAAAGAATAAAAGTAAGTTGTTTTGGATAGCTATAAATTCTTGAATAATACTACACGTACAGAAATCGATTTGACAGAACACGTACAGACCATATATAACAGATTCGTGGGTGATTTTATTTTTTTAATATAAAACTCACATGAGGACAAATGTGTCGAGTCTCTTAGTAAAAGTGTGAAAAGAATAAAAGTAAGTTGTTTTGGATAACTATAAATTCTTGAACCACACTACATGTACAGAAATCGATTTGACAGAATACGTACATATCACATACCACAGATGTGTGTACGTGTTCTGTCAAATCGATTTCTGTACGTGTAGTATTATTCAAAAATTTATAGCTATCCAAAACAACTTACTTTTATTCTTTTCACACTTTTACAAAGACAGAAAGACACATTTGTCTAAAGCCGGCGGCTAGTCGCGAAGTCCCATCATTTTCCAAATTTCAATAGGATTTTACTCGCCGTTTTATTCCTTTTACCAAACTACCCCTCTCTTAATAACCCTCTAATTGCTGTCCTATCTCATTTTTACCCTTCATTCTTCTTTAAATTCCGTCACATGGCCGTCATCCCTTGCCCATTGGTCCTCAAAATCTCTGGGGCTAAAATTGTCCCCCAGAGTAATTATCACAGTGGCAATTCGGTCAAAATAAAATTATTACCGAACACTGAAACTCCCATTGCAATAAGAAAAACTCCTCCGATCCACGGCCGGGCAAATACTCCTCGGCCACTGCAGCCAATCAGATTTTTGCACATGGCGGCCCAAAATGTTGATTCGACTGATGATCGTATTTCTGGGATTTCATCTTCCATTCGGGTCATACCCGATTTCCCCAAACCTGGTAAAACTTTCTGATTTTAATTCCAGCTATAATTGAAGAATTCATGTAGAGGAGGATCATTGAGCTGATTTTTACGTTTCTGAATTGTTGGTTTATGGGCAGGGATAATGTTTCAGGATATAACGACTTTGCTTCTTGATCCCAAGGCATTTAAGGACACGATCGATTTGTTTGTTGAGAGATACAAGGACCAAAATATTAATGTTGTTGCAGGTGCTTTGTTGTCTTTCTCGATTTATTGTTTTTGTCGAAGTAGAATTGCTTGCTACTTGTAATTCTATTCTCTACGTTGGCATGTTCTGTTGAATGTATGATATTGCACAATGTCGTGCAGTTTCTAGAGATCTTATGTCCCTGCAACTAAAGGTTCCTTTTTTTTTTTTTTAAATATTTTTTTATTGATTTTTAATATTTTGAAATCGATCATTTACTAAGTTGAAGAAGTTTTAGTTCACATCTATGGGAATTGAATTCAAAGTGACATAATGTGAATTCTTGGTTATAGGGACATTTTACCTTCAACAAATCAGAATCCGTAAATCAGTGGCTGGAAAATATTTAGAAAATTCTGTTGATGATTTTTTGAATTACCTAAATTATTCAAGTACCTATAAAAGCTATATAAATTATTCAATAGGTAAATAAAAGCTATATTTAGGCCAAAATAATCGATGCCAAATGCTAAACTTGGTTGACTAGTTATTCATTAACTTGATTAACATTTATGAATGGAAAAATCAGTTGCAATTTTATAATCTGTGCGATACTGGTTGAAATGGTGCAGGCATCGAGGCTAGAGGTTTCATATTTGGGCCTCCAATTGCATTGGCTATTGGGGCCAAATTTGTTCCCATGAGAAAGCCTAAGAAGTTACCTGGTATAGCTCTCTGCTTCTATCTTCGTCTGGTTTGGCCATTTTCATGGTTACTGTTATTTTCACAGTATATTTTGAATCTTCATGATGTGTTCTGTTGTTGAAGAATATGATGCACGTTTTATCCTAATTAGCATTTTTTGAAAATCTATTATTAGAAGTTTGACATGCATGATGATCGAAAATCAACTGCACTATATCTTATGACATGTCAGAGGTTTTTCTTTTGTAGCTGAGTAACAATATTTCTGAATTTGAATTTTCCCCAAATTCTAGAAATAACAGCAGCATAATCTAAGCCTTGTTCCCAATAACTTTGAAGAAGTTGGCAACATGAATCCTTTTTCTCCACTCTATTATGTATGACCTTGTGAAAATAACTGAATTATAGCTTACCCAATTTAGATAAAAGTTTTTGAAAATGTAGAATCTGGTTATGAGATGCATAGTATTATATCTGGACTGGAAACTGTTGATCCAGATCCTAGATTGATGAATTGGTTCATTTAAACCTGCTGAGTTTTTCAAACTTACTGAATGATTGAGATGGTTTGATCCGAAGGGCTCTTGGAAATTATGCCCAGCAATCTCCCACTAGACTAGTCCATATATTTCAAAATTTCTACTATAATACACTCATAATGAATTAGATGTAAATCCCATCTAAAATAATTGCAATAACAAAGTAAATTTTTATTATTATTTATTTATTTATTTTTTTTTAAAGGCGTAGCATAGTATATAAAAGTTTAAATTTGGTAATCAAAATTTTTTTTATTATCAAGTAAATAATAATTACTTGTAATTTTTCCACACAAAGAAAAAAGAATTTTGTATAGATAAGCATATGAAAAATGAAGAGAACACTTGTGTTCTAAGTAATTTATAAAGTACAAATTTATACAAAAAGGCTATACAAGATCATATGTGAATCAGAATCAACAAACATTTCACCTTATGTGGGAAAGACTTATTACCGATGAGAAATTTCTTTATAATATCAAAATAGAAATCAATTATATGTCTGTCAAAATAAAAAATACGTTACATGCAAAGCTAAAAGGAAAAAAATATAATCTCAAATAAAAATAGACGAATTCATTATTTTATTGATCAACAATAAACCATTTTAAACTTCCAAAATTTTTCCCGGGGAAAAGGAAATTGTACCTACTAATTAAAGGAGTCAAATAATTATTTATACAAAACCTTTGATCATTTTCTAAACATCAATTCACCTGCTTGACTAGCGACCCGCTGGTTGAAGGAGTGATCTAGTAACCTGCTAACTTAGCCCGTCCATACTAGGATGAAAAGTTTGTATAATATTTTAGGTGAGAGGTAGAATGAAGTTGTGACGAATAACATTTCAAAAGTACAGCTTTATGGACTCAATAATCCGCAATCATATGATATATTTATGTGTCCATGTTTATATGATATCTGATTTTTAAAATAATGAGTGTGTTAAAGTTACGTTATGCAGGTTTTGTACAAATTGCCAAGGTACTGAATTGCGTACGCTTCTTAAAATTATCTTTTTTCATATCTGTTTCCGTTGTAACTCAGCACTAAATTTTGCCATCATGTTTTTAATCATGTACATGTACTCTATATATGGATTTCGATGGCTGAATTCACTTTCGTCCATGATTCACAATCTTTTTATGCTTTCCTGGGTTGTAAAGATAAAAGTTTATGGCCGAAAGAATGCCCTGATTCTTGAGTTTCAGAGAGATCCTTTTATGATATTAATATTGTGAAAGGTATCTCGGAATTGCCCTCAGTTTCTTTTAAAGATTTTTAGCGAGTTTTAGTGTGATTTTAGAAGCCTATTTATTTACTTTAGTTGCAAGTGTTTTACCATGCATGTTTTGCATGGCAATCTGTACATTACTGATACCGTAATCATCATTACTATACCAGGTGAGGTTATTTCAGAAGAGTACTCTTTGGAGTATGGAACAGACATAATGGAGATGCATGTAGGGGCTGTACAAGCTGGAGAACGGGCACTTGTCGTTGATGATCTTATTGCAACTGGGGGAACCTTGAGTGCTGCAATCCGCCTACTTGGTGTGCTTCTTTCTTCTGGAAATTTATAATTTTATTGCCAATTTCTTCTCTCCCTTTGCCTTTTTTTCTCAACATGAGAAAATAAAATTATCCTTTAGTTTTGATAGAGGTCCACTCGTTTTCTGGATGGGGCTAATATAATCAAAATAAAGAATGCGAAAACTAAAGATTAAAAGAAGAAAAGACCGAGTGAACTATCCTACTGAAAATTAAAGCAAATCTTCTTGGAAGCACTGTTCCATTGCAGTGATATAAATGTCTAATCTTGTTAGTTTTATATTGCAGAGCGAGTTGGGGTTGATGTGGTTGAGTGTGCATGTGTTATTGAATTGCCGGAACTGAAGGTACGAAATTAGTCAATTTACTTTCAGAGATCAAGCAATATTAATTACATTTATTTAAATTAAGAGTTTTCCATATACAATATTTTATTATATTCAGTAGGGCTGTGTTTGAATCTTGATTACCTGTAAATCTATGGAAATTGTCAATTATAACCGGCCTTTAGTAGGCCGTGTTGGTTACTGCAGTGACCTTGATAGCAAAAATTGACTGTAGTTTACAATGACACCTCATTACCTCGTGAGTACCGAATCACAATTGTCTTGTTTTATTATATACCTTAATTTTATTTTTCTATCTTTGTTGATCGATAATATAATCTTTGCAGCACGGAATAGATTTTCATTATCCATAACTTTATTCCAATTGGTGATTTCTTTTTTAGGCTATTAAAATAGAACTTCTTATCCAAAAATCTACAAGACCTTTTGATGATTTTGTTTTGGGTTGATGGTTTAAATGTTTTAATTATCAGTCAGTATTAGGTTTTGAATGTTTTTGTTCACAGTCTCTCGAAAATTCCAATTTTATGATTTCCATTTCAGTTTTATCTTCAGCTGAAAATAATTTTTTATATTCAAATTAGAGATAGCCAGAGAACACCCTTACATGCCCAAATGCCAAGAGTACAACTTAAATAGTCTCAGACATGGCCCACACAGATACTAGCACACTCTGGAAACACATTGAGGAACCACACCATAACACACAGCATGAACCAATGAAGGCATCCACATGGAACATGATAGATATAGACACAAAAGCCCAATACACAGAGCAAGCATAAACACATAAAATGCTATGTACTCAGTAATATATACAAAAGTGAAACGACAGAATTTGGAAAAATTCACATGTATCTTCATGCATAATAGAAATTTCAGTGTCGTGAATGAGTTTGCCAACTAGTTGTTGTATAAGGAGGCTAAGACCAGTGGTATTTCTGAGGTGGAAGGTCGGAGTGGTGTGTATGGTATTGATGTTTTGGATTTGAGTCAAGATTGGTGTTATAGGTGGTGGATTTTGTTCAACATTTGGGGAGAGAGTCATGTGCTTTCTTATTTTAATGAGCAGCTGGGATATGAGTGTTTAAGATTATTTTTTTGTATCAAGAATCAAGTAAACTCTTAATAATTTCTGGACCTGAATAACTTCCATTGTCCATGGGACTTTAAATAGACATTTTATATAATCCTGCTTCTAGTATGAAGCCTAAGTGGTTCGGAAAATCTTTGTAAATAATTTTGTGAACTATTTAGTTGCCAAAAAGCTTATGTCATGTGCCTAAATGGTATTAGGAAATCCAGCAGCCTATAATTAATTCTATAAGATCATTGGTAATCTTGATCGTAGATGAAATGGGAATAAAATTCATTTTGAGCAGTCTGGATTGCCCTTGGTCAAGAAGACCATTCGTTTTGAAGAGATTAGAAGTTTCAATCAGATAGTACCTACCGGATTTTACAACTCAATAGAGTTCCAAGTTATAAGCCTGTGGGTAACACCAGTGGTTGAGATTTTGTATACTGCAGAGTTCAAACCATGAGGACGATATTTATCAAATATGGGGGAGGCTAACATGTGCTTAAAAAGGACAAATCTGGTATTTTATGTATGGCTGGATTTGGAACAAATTACCTGTAGTTCAGGGTTAAAAAAAGGAGAAAGAAAGTACTAGTGTGTTTGGGTTTCCTTATAAGTAATTTATAATTTCTAGTCTAACTTTAACTACACATTCAAATAATGTTATGAAACCAGAATGGACTGCCAGTCCACTCAGAAACTCTGGAACTGGCCCATAATCCAGTCCATTCATGTGTTATTAACCAATTATAGAATAACCGGCCAGAGAACCAATGAACCGGCTGATTTGACCACTAACCAGTGAACTTGTCATGGTTCTACCGGATTTTCCGATTTTAATTAAATTTTTTTCAACTACATTAATGGGCTCATGCACTATTTTTGAATACATATATAGGTATCTTGGTAAACCTTCCCCTTCTAATAGATGCACCTTCTCTAATTACTGCATAATCTTCTAGTGGATATAGGAGAGTGCTCAATTCCCAGCAAAAACCATTTGTTAAATTTTCGCCTCATTCTTTCAATTTTAATTGATTTTGGGTCCCAACAAAGTAAATTGTAATGTTCACCTCAATCTTTTCATTTATTTGATTTTCAAAATTGAACTTAAATTGCACTTCATTATTACCATTAATGCTAGACATCCTTTTCTATAAGCCCAAACAATTTTAATTTTAATAAAGCTAATTATTTGGACATATTGATTGTTAGTTTTTGAAGTATTGAAACTAATTGTAGAATAATGAATCTAATTAACAAACATGAATTTATATTTAGTTTGAAAAAGTAATATGAAAATTAAAAAATATGTTCTTATAGTATTTTGTAGTTTGTATGTGCATTTATTTATTGCATCTTGTTCGGTTTCAGTAGAACCTTTTAACTTTTAACCTTTACCTTTTTCGGGTCGATTTTCAAAATATTGCATTTACAACTACCACACACTTATTGTATATACATTTCGTGGGATCCATCACACGCAAAGAGTTCTTTTACACAGTTGACATTATTAACTAGCTTGAATACAAATCCCAAATAGTAATGCCTATGTCATAGTAGATGCTGTGATGATCCATCATCAGCTCGAGATTTATTAGCTTTAGATAGAGTCAAATCCCCAATTCATTTGATTTGTATAGCTAGTAGTATAAAGAAAGAGTGCCTTGACTACCAAGAAAGAGTGCCTTGACTACCAGCAATGATTGCCATGGAGCTGAAGTCCTTCTAATTCTTCGTGTTCTTTATTCTTGATCTTGTTCTTCTAATTCTAATATTATTAGGCACTTTTTTATTTTCCCTATCAAGTAGCTCTAAGGTTGTCCAACTCCCCAGGAGTTGATACCAGTTGCATGGATTTTGAAGTAAAGATAGGACAGTGGCAGGGGGTGAAAGATGAAATGCCGGAAATAAGGAGAAATTCTCTACAATTAAGCTGAACTTGAAATTCTAGAAGTTTCCAGAAAGATGAACAACGTTACCTCGCTTTTAGAATAATGCTTATACAGACAAAGAAAGAACATGCTCTTTTGATTTTCCTCCCTCGGCAAACCTGATTTGAGACAAACCTAATACTTAAATTTGCAGAAAATGCATAATACTCATCTTATAGATTTGGTATTCTGTTTTAATGTCCTCTCAAGTGTTCCCTTTTTAACAATACTGGTACTGGTCATTGATTCACTGCTTATGCTTGATTCCAGGGCCGGAATCGATTAGGAGACAAGCCGCTGTTTGTTCTTGTGACCTGAACTTGATGCTGTTGTGAAACTTGATATCGAGATTGGAAGGAGGAGAATGTGTTCATGTCGAAAATAATTAATGGTTTCTGGCTTTCATTATTGAATTTGTATTTGCTTATTTGCTTCAACAAGTGCTTTGGGCAGGATTTAAATGAAAACTATTCGCATTCTTATCTGTGAAAACATGGCTGCTGGTAATTGTGGTGTATATGTCCAAACCTAGTGTTGTATTGCCAAAACTTCGAATGCATGTGCTTACATATAGTTTCTTTTGAAGTAATTCTCGATATCATGCACCTTCCTAGTTATAAAGGAAAAAATCTAGACTTAGACACAAGCAATTAATTTTGGAACAATCACGAAAAGGTTCAAATTCCTTGAAATAGGGGTGGACACAAAGAGTCCTGGGGGTCACTTGGCCACCCAACATTTTTTTTTTTTTTTTGACTGATAGAGTCATATTTAATATTAAAGTTAATAATTAATTTTAATGACATATTTTATAGAATCTATAACTTTTCAACTTTTATTAAAATATACTAAAAATTTGATTTTAATTCTCATCGGACAAAATCACAATAGATTTGAATTTTTTCTCTTACTCTTTTTCTTATGTCTTTTATCAAAATTTTAACCCTTTTAATTTTTTAAAATTTGTATATAATTTCTCTAAAATATAATTACATCTTATACAAATATTCACTTAACAATCAATTTATTATTATTATTTTTTAACCTAAATTTGCATTTGCTCGTATCAAATTGTGTTTATAGAATGAGTCTGAAATGATTATGTCCAATGTAGCTTACATTTAACAAATTATGTTTATTTAATTGATTACTAGTATTTAATATTGGTTATATATTTTTTCTTTTTATTACTTGATTGTTTTAATTGATTATTTGCATCAAATACACTATAAATTTTTTAAACGTAAATATGCAATTTATTGAGATAAGTAAAATATTAATAAAAAGACTGTTCGAAATCAAATGGATGAAAATAATGAGAAAAATATTAATAAAATGACTGTTCGTTGATTATCATCCAATAAGATTGATATGGTTAGAAAGGAATTTCAATGGTCTTTTCAATCATATATAAGAACTCTAAATTTAGACCTAAAACAAAGAAATATGAGATTTTGAAGACTAGTTCGAATTCTAAAAACTAAAAAAATAATAATTGGAGAAGATCAGGGGCAGACCTAGACCTTTTATGTTGTGGGGTCGAAATTTAAAGTGTAATTTCTTTAAAAACAACATAATATTAGTGAAAATAAGTTAATACGCATTTTGATGCTTTGAAAACATGTTATAATCATATCATTATCAATATTGTTACATAAATTTTGCTATTTTTATAGTATTATTTACCATTTTGTTGACAAATATTGAATTGACAGCGAGTAAATCAAATTGAATGTAGGAAGTAAATGAATTGAAACAAAATTCACATTTTATTTAGGAAGTAAATGAAATTAAAATTTAAAGCAAAATTATTTTGAAAGTTACATTTATTCCGTAAAAATTCTAAAATTTTTGACGTCATATTCTATGTAAAATCTTATAATAAAATGTAAATTATATTGAAAAATTTATCGTGCAAAAATAATAAACATTAATGAAATAATTGAAAAACTAGACCATGAACATTTCAAAATAGTATTAAGAATGTAAGATTTCTACTTCATTTGACATCCCGTAACGAGTCTATCAAAATAGGTCGTAAAAGGGTTAAAACAACTATTTTTTGGGAAAAACAAAAAAAAATTTGTGCGGTCAAACATGTGGGACTGCCTTGGAGAAGATGATGAACAATGATTTGCTTGATTGCCTATGAGTTGCTTTACTGTTACAATCACAGTATTAAAAGTATGAAAATTTTGAATTCTTACCAGACCCGTTTGATTGCACGAAATTTTCCATGGAACTTGGAATTCGAATTCCAACTTCCACTTTTGGCCTGTTTGATTGACAAAATTTTCCAGGGAATTGATTTTCCATGAATTTCTAGGTACAACACCTTAAAGCGTGATTTTCCACTTTTTTTTTTCCTAGGAGATAGGTGGTTTTTGGTTTTCCACCTTTTTTTTTAATTTTTTTTTGCTTTTTTTATTTTTTTTTTAATTGTTGGCAATGTGAACAAATTTTAGGAATAATTGTAAAAGAGGATATCCCTGAAATTGACAATTTCCACGTAAAACAAAGTCAAACGAACATCAAAAAATACTTTTACTTCAACATTTTCCACGTGAAAAATTTATACAATCAAACACAATAATTTACAATTTCCATGAAAACAATTTCTAGGTAATTCAATTCCAAATTGATGAAAATGCATTAGGAAAGCATCGAGTACACCACGCGCAGCTGGGTACGAGTGGGGACAACGTATGGCCTCTGAATTAAAATAAAAAATAAAAAATTCAAAGATCATGCTTTAATGCATGAGAGCAATTCTAAAAATTGCATATTGGACCTGTATTGTTCTTATTTTTTTCGGATAAAATTATTATGATTAAAGTACTTTTAATGTATTTAAAGTTTAAAATACATTTTATAATTATGCAAAAATTATTTCTTGAGTTAATTAAAATTTGAAAATTTAATACTAAATCCCTAATATTTATTAAAAAATTCTGTTGACTAGTGGGTGGTAATTTTTTTTAATTCTTCGTTTTTCGTTTGAAAAATATTTTGAAAGTATTTTATATCAATTGATTTGTTAACAATTTTTGATTTTTTTAAATTAAAAAAAATACGATTTTAGTGTTAAACTTTTTCTGATATTAAATAGTACAGTGTTTCCATGTTCTTGAATGATGTTGGTCTTGACGTGATTGTGTTATCTATTAAGACATTTTCCCATTTTTCATTCTTAGTCCGATATGGCTAGTTTCATGCGCATTTTTAGTGATCCAAGATAGAAGATGAAAAGATTATGGATATAGAGTGTGTTAAAAACAATTACGTGCTAGCAAAATTACGAAATGGATTTGGAACATTGATAAGTGTGTTTTTACACACTTATTCGAACCACAAAACATTACTATGTCCTGATAAATATAGTGAAATATGGATTAATTCTATTAAATCTTGTTTTGTAGGACTATATTAATGGATGTGATGAAATTCAAAAGATAAGATGCGAAAAATGGCGAAAATGAATGAAAATGAAAGTTCAGGGACTAAAGTGCAAATAATCAAAAGTTAACCCAAAAGGCAAATCGAGAATGTAAATGAGCTAAGTATTAACTCAGGGATAATATGGGAGATAGAAGGAAGAAAATGAAGAAGAAGGACCAAGATGGAAAAGAATGAAAGTTCAGGGACCAAAATGTAAATAAGACAAAAGATGAACCGGAGGTACAAACAAAGAAGTGAAAATGAGGAATTGAAGTATTGGGAGAAGAAAATGAGGAAAAAAAGTCAAAACACATGAGATAGGAAGTTTTAGGACTTATATGTCACTTTTGAAAGATTGGGGCCACCATGTAGTCGAATGATGGTAGACCGAAACCAACATGGGGCTGACATGCACTACCATGCGATCGCATGGTACAACGTTGGTGCCCGATTTTCAGTTTTGTTCTCGGCTTCAAACTCTTATGGATTGGAATTGTGGGATGTATATAAAAACTCTAGAGTCGTCATATGAAAGGGGAGAACGGCTTGGGAGAGAAAATAACTCATATTGGAGGAGATTTTACACCACAATTATGAAGAGAAACACGAAGATCAATAGGATTACATGCCAAATCTCATATCGGTGATGTCGTTTCTTAAAATTATTGTGTATTTTGTTATTTTCTCCATACTAGGCTAGAAATTCTTGTATTAGGAGATCGATAAGCCTTGTGATGTGATTTTTAATTCCTTGTTCTATATTTTTGACATTAAAACACGTATTGAACATTTTGAATGATTTATATACATTTAATTTCTTCCATAATTATTGGGCTCGCAATTGTGTGATGTGGTGATCTATTTCTTGCATTCAAGGGAAGGGAAATATGTTCAACAAGGTATAAATTATCGTAGAGTCCGATAGGAGATAGATATATATATCACTATACTCTGCGTGAATTATTAAGTGCTCACAAAACTACATGCATTCTTGTGTATTTGCACCCGTCATAGAGATATAGGTTGGTGGTATATGAGAGTAGGTTCAACTTTGCTCGAGAGAGATTGTTGGATAAATTTAGGAGCAATGCTTTTTTATGATTTGACGTGTTGTCAAGTTAGAGAACTAGGGTTGCATTGAGCATTGCTTGGGGGATTCGTGATCTTAGTGCTTTATACATTCATTGAATTCATAAATTTGCATTCCAAACATTTAATTTACATTTTTAGTTCATCTAAGTGTCAGTTTGCATTTTAATTCATTCAAGTCATATGCATTTGCATTCCTAGTTTAGGTTAGAATTTAATTAATTAATAAAATCTTTTTTGACAATCTTGTTTCGGTTAAGGTCAAGATAAATAAAATTAGGCTACTCAATCTTGCGGGACGATATTCGGACTCTAGAATCCACTTTATTATTTGTTGCGAACCGTACACTTGCAAAGCTTTAAATAGAGATATTATTTTCGTGAACAAGTTTTTGGTGCCGTTGTCGGGGATTGAGTATTCGTTCAATCTTGTTTATCTTGGCACTAATTTGAACAGTACTCTTTGTGTCCTTTATTTTCTTTTGCCTTATTTTAATTTTTTATTTTTATTTTATCTTTTTTAGTACCTAAGTGCTATTACTGATTTTCTCGCAAATTAGCATGGTAAGATCTGCTGGAGAAGACCTGATTTTAGCCGATCCAGAAATTAAGCAAACTTTTCATCGAATGCAGAGAGAAACTAGGGAAGCACAACAACAAATGGCCAACATACAGAATAATCCAATCTTTCAAGCCAACAAAGAAGGGGCAACAGATAAAGGCAACATGCTTGTAGGAGATTTCATGACTTCGCAGATAATTCAAAGCCAATCAAGCATCGTATATCATCTGTTTGGGTAGCCTAACTTCCAACTGAAGACAAATGTGATACAGCTATTTCAAAATGGACATTAATTTACAACAGAGATGAAGAAAATTCACATACGCACGTTTTTCGCTTTTTGGAGATGTGCAACACTTTAGATATTAGGGAATCTCAGAAGATGCTATCAGATTGGGGTTGTTCCTACATATACTACATGACAAGGAGATTGAATGGATGGATTCTCAACCAATTGCCAGCATCACTATATGGAACGATCTAGTACAGAAGTTTTGTAC